AAAGTGAGAAGGAGAAATAAAAATTTCGTGCAACTCTTTAAACACCCAAAAAGAAACATGGTCGAGAATTTGCATACGGCTTGTTAGGGGATCCGCCAAAGCATCGATAATTTAATCGCCAACGACGCGATTCTTCCCATTCGCGACACGTAGGATCGGCCGCGATTTCGAATGCCTCAGCCTCATGAACGAAGATTCTTCTGTTATTGAACAACAATCGATTCCTACGTCGAGTGCAACAAACTTAACAAAAGACGCACGTAAAACCCGGAGAGTAGGAATGCAAAGAAAGCGGGAATAATTAATACTCGGTGCACATCTCGGTTGCAGAGACGCATATACGCTAGGTGTATCCGTGTAGAGGGAAAAATTCTCGCGCGATGGTGGGTTCCAGGGAAATACTTACGTACAATACAATATTTTACATGTGCTGCTATTGTGGCATCGCTCCATGGGCGAGCGACTGGCCGAGAGGCAGGCTTTCAGAAAAATTTGTATCGCGTATTTCTAAGTATTTATTTGAATAAAATTAATTATAGAATTTATATTCACATTCGTGTATCCGAGATGTTATATCGGATGTGTAAAAAAAATTCATATGGTTTCGCTGGAGTGTTATATTTGATTATACTGCATTCTTCAAGAATCAGTTTGTGGAGTAATGGCAATGTAATTATTGATTATTAGACTGTGGAAATTTATGCAGAAATTTTTATGTAGAACGCACGTATACAGAAAAAGAATTATTCAGAGTAAAATATCATTATATTCGAAGAGTGAATCCATATTCCAGTTTCATTTGTATTCATAATTTAGATTTGCATGAACAGTAATCTGTAATTACTAGTTATATTGAAATGAACAAATGCCAAAAATCATCAATAAGACGTATATATTCCTTCAAATTGCGGGGTTCTTTTTAGAAGTTTCTTTTTCGCTTCTCCATCCATTGATTACTTTAAATTAATATTTTATGATCGATTGATTCATTACTATGCTTTTATACTAGTATTTAAGATCGTTATTTCATTTATTTCAATCATATTTTATATATATTTTTTTTTTGTTTCAATAAAGGTGGCCAAATATAACTTGACAGACAGTTAATACATCACTACATAGAAATTGCATTCTTGCCGTTTTAGAAAGCGCACGCACAAGTGGATATGCCAAGCATGGCTCGGTGGATTTCACAGGAATTAATTGACTCGGTGATTTCAAGAAATTTATCGTCGTGATTTACGAGATCTACATGAATTTAAACCGCAAGAAAATTTCTACGTTATAATTTCATCGTTTTTCTGGTGGTGGAAAAAGAAAGAAAGAGAGAAAGAAAGAAATGAGGGGGGAAAGAAAAATGGAGGGAAAAAAGGGATGATAAATAAATAGAGGAAAGTCGCGTGCACGTGATCCACCGGTGTATCCGGAATTTTTTCGATGTGAGAGAAGTACAAGAAACGGTGTAATTGTACCGTTGTGGAAATACGGATGAAAATAGTCGAAAATTAATTCCGGTTTCGAGTTGGATAACTCTTAACGCGTTATATGAAAGGAATATCCATGTTCAAAGACGTGTTGGAATTAATTAATTTTTTTTCGAAAGGAATAAATTAATTGTGTTTAAATATTTTTAATGAAACATTTCCCATTTTTTTTTAAATTCTATATTGTTAAAATATATATGCAAATATCAAACGTAAGATGAGAAAGTATTTTGAAATTTGTGAGAGATATTATAATGCATACGTGTGTAATCATTATATTTCTTTTCAATCATGTTGAATTGAAAGAAAAAATAAAACTACAGTATATACCTACTAATATTTTTCTAGAGGAAAAAAAGTTTTATTTGTCTTATTTAAAACATGATGTTTTACTCTCTTTAAATTTTCAACCCGTTATGTGTTATTTATAAGAAGAGAATTTAAAATATGGAGAAAAAAGTAAAAAAAAAAAAAAAACAAAACATAATAATTTAAAAATGCAAGTTTAAAAATAGAAAAAAATTATTCTGAAAATATGTATATATGTATATGGTTAAGAAATTGCAGAACTGCAATATAAAAAGAAATTGTAGCACAAGGATAATCTAAATTTAATAAACATCATGGATGAAGTCGGCGTTTTTAGAACGCGAGATTTTCGCGCGCGCGATGAAAATTCATCAAGCTTTAGCGGGGCATTTTTAATCAACCAGAATAAGAAGATAAGTACACACACACACACGCACACACACATACACATATGCAGATGCTCACGTGCACACAAGTCAACTCATTCCAGCTCACGAACAAGCAAAGTACTCTCGACGTAGGAGGAATATCTCCTTCGGTAAATAAAACAGGGAATAACCGCGGTAAAGATGATCCATCTATTAAAACCGAGATAGGATCTGTTTCATAAAATCACTATGTATCATCATCTGTTAAGTTTAAATTATTCATTTTAAAAAGAGAAAAGAAGAAAAAGAAGAAACTAATAAATAACGAAAAAGAAAAAAAAAACAATTCTTAGAATTATGATTATAATTTCAAAGGAAAAAAAAAAAAAAAAAAA